TGTTCTTATGTATATGGCTGGGCGTTCACTTGGTGGACATGTTTTCCCTTCTTTGCTTTGAATGTTGCTCAAAACAAATTGCATGCTAGCTGATCTTACATTTAGATTTATAAATAATGCTGTAGTGTGAATGGAATTTGTTTCAAATTATTTTGAGCTTCATACGAACAAATTGTCCAGTATTTTTCTTTCTATGCCAACTATTATACTTAACATTTACTGGACTTCTAGAACATACTGGACAGTTTGAATAATATAAATGATGTATGACATATAACAGAGATATTCACATTATAGAATTTAGAATGTAAAGTTGTTCAAATTACTACTTACAAGGCAATGCAAATTTTGATCTATTAACTGCTGTGATCTTTGTCTTTATTTGGGAGGTATTTGGAACATTTTATTCGAACTTCTCTCAGATAAAGTACGACTCTCCAAAACAAAAAGATTCAAATGGTTAGCTATTGAATTTTGAAAGCTAAGGTCTAGGCATATGTGAAAACACTGGATCAGTAAATGATGAGAGAGTTAGTTTTTCCTAACTTTGACTAATAGCTCAAATTATTTTGACAAGGAGGAGGAAGAATATAATACAATGAGGGTGATAGAATAGGTGACAGCTTAGAGATCTGACTGAAGGCCTGTGACTTTCAGGGCCCTCTGGAGTCTGAAGAGCCCATAACACTGTGACATAACTAAGAAATTCAGACTTATATCAGGAGGAACACCAAGGCATTGAGGAATGCTAAATATGGGAGTAGCAGGATTTGATTGGCATTCGACAATCATTAATATGAATGAAGACTGAAAGAAAAAGGAGGGAGAGGTTAGAACTAGGGTAACTTAAAAGTTTAATTCCAAGTTTTAAGGAGAAATGAAATCTGAATACTTGGCAAACACTGGGGAAGGGAAGAATAAAAAATCGAGAGTGGTTTTACCAGATGAATTGAGAAGGATTAATAATAATCACAATAATAGATAACATTTATGCAGCGGTTACAATATGCTTACCAACAGCTAAGCAGTGGTGGCCTGTAAATGTTTAACACCAGCACTCTGGGACAAGGGTCAGGGTGCAGGAGGGCCCTGCTTTTCAGTTTGCCAATTTTTGTGATGTAAGTATTCCCAGGATGGCCAGCTTCAACCTACCAATGAAATGTCACTCAATAGCAATTGGGAAGAAATGTGCAAAAACTGTTCTCACAGACTGATATGTAGCAGATCCAGGATGCCACTGGAATTTTTTCTACATGTGTTAATTTCATTTACTTCTCATAATGTGTCCCTTTAAGTGAGGGTTTCTTAACCTCAGTACTACTCACATTTTTAACTAGATAATTCTTTGCTGTGGGGATGCTGTTCTGTGAACTGCACAGTGTTTAGCATCATCCTTGAACGCTACCCCTAGATGCCAGTAGTACAGTCCCCACACCAGCTGTGACAACGAAAAATGTTTCTTGTCAAAGTCATATGTTTTCTGAGGAAAAATAAACAACTGCAGTGTAACATCACTGCTTTATGGCTTATCCCATAATTTTTTTCTTTTCCTTCTTTTCCTCTTTCTAATTTCTTATTTTCTTCTATTTTTTTATTTTTGCAAATGAAGACATTTAAACTTAGAAAGAGCATACACTTATTAACTGGTAGATTTGTTATAAATACAGATTCATTATAAATTATAAATTCATTATAAATATAGAAGCAGAGAGGTAGATGGATAGACAGGAGGATAGGTGGAGCTAGAGATAGACATAGACATAGATACGTCACCTCAATGCTATAATTATTGGATGACAAAGTATTAAGAATAAAGCTGTCCTTACCTTGATGCCCATTTTGCATGGGCAGTAATTTTTTCTTTGGTTTAAAAGAGCGTTTCTGTATATAATATGAGAAAACAAAATGAAGGAAACGGGGGAGGTGATTGAAAGGGAAAGGGAAAAGAAATGGATTAGGAAACATCCATTGCAGTGTTACTATTTTTCAAAATTTTCAAAAATTTTGGAATATGTTTTTAAGTCAGGAGCAAAATCACCATTATTCTAAAGGAGAATGATTATCAGAATCAATTTATAAATTACTCTAAACACATGAGCCAATGCATGGTTTAACTGTTAATAAATAGAAAAAGTCTAAAGAATATTAGTGTAAATAACATTGTTTCATAGGTCCCTTTTAGTTTTTTACTTTGAATATCTATTGTGCCTTGATTGATATAGATGACTAAATACAATACTCCCTAATTTCTCCAAAAATTAAAGGGGAATTTGGACTGAAAATACAAATACCTAGTCCAGATGTAAAATAATCTCTCGCACCCCTGATCTACTGATTTCATCTCGATTAAACATAACATTTCAAAAAGTTTTGTTATTTTTTAAATATTTGAACAAAATATGTCTTAGCTCATTTTAAGATGAAAATTATTGAATGCATTTTGTATAGCCTTTCCTCTCTTTTTGACATATTGTCATATCTGAATACTGCAGTATTCTGGTCCCGGTGTTAGGCAGAGCAGAGTTTTAATCCAATTCATAACATAAAGAAACGGAGACTCAGAATGTCTTCCATTATGCTATAGTATGCAACAGGAGGCAGCTGCCAGGGACTGTAGGAGTGTGAGCCTCCTATCCTTAGTGACATAAACATGCTAGCTTTACTGTAACAAAATTCCTTTTATTTCGTTTATGGTATAATTAAGCTCTCTGAGAATACAGCAGGGGTCCTTTCTTTTTTCCCCAGTAGTTGTAACTATGTCATGTTTGCAGATTTCATACTTTGTAAAAAGTTGAATTAAACTATTCTTTCCACTTATATTTACTAACCTCTGATATATCTGTCATAATAATGTTCAAAGTTGTGAGTTTTCAATAATTGAATTTTTCCCTTGTTTTTATTTTGCAATATTCATCCAGCAAATATTAAGTGGTGACTAAGTGCTAAATTTTTTTCTAGGCATAGGGGATACACCGGAGAATAAGGATTAATCCTCTTCTTTCCATGGCAGAGCTGGAAAAGCAATAACAGAGTAAGCAGATAAAATCTGATATATTATAAAACAGTGAGAAGTATTCTGAAGAAAAGTAAGGAAGGGTAAAGTAATAGGGTGTTTTGATATGAGGTCCAAAGTCATATAAAATGATATATAATAACCTCTATAATTTGGGAGTTAACATTTTCCATATCATTAATTAAATTATGAACACCTTTACTTGTAAAGTTCTATCCTCCATCCCATTTAATTGGTTAACTAAATTGGTCATTCTTAGTTTGTAAACTTCTTTTTTCATTTAAAACATAACTTATATTGGTGTCCTTAATAAATAAATAATAATAAAATAGTCTATTTTGCAGTCTAAATCTCTAATACTTGGATCATAGTCAGAATTTTAAAAATAGGAAGGGATCTAAACATAGAATTTCAAAGTAGGACAGGATTAACGAATCATATTTTTCTGATTTTTCAAGACAATTTAGATCTAGAGAAGTGAACCAAATTTTTCAGAATCTAAGAAGATTTGAAAAACAAGCTTTCTTATTTAACATTTTATTATTCTTTTTTATTCATCTTGTTGATTTGATATACTTTACATATTACTATAACAAGCTGTCATCTATGTGACAGTATTTTAAGGGAAAGTATTAAGAATTCCCTATACAATCAAAAATCACCTCACATGCTGTATGATATCTAAGAGCCCCACAATTCATGAACAATTCATAAATATTCCTACTTAAATTCCACAAAGCCCTAGCAAAAAACATCATTTGTAATTCACCCATTATTTGTGAATTAAGTTATCACATGCTTTCTGAGATCAGGATTTAATAGTGTGGAAAAATAAGGGGTCTTATCACCAAAGTGATAAGGATGATGGGCAGCCTCATGGAATATTTAAAAAATAGATGTTGCCAAATTTCACAATTTGGCTAAATAAACAGAACCATGAGAGTAGAGAAGCTCTCCAAGCACAAAGACTGTTTCCATATGGAGGAAATGAGGTTATATCCTTTAAGACCTCCTTATCTCCTGGTTCTGGCTCAAACACTCCCCATCTACTATCTGAATTATTTCTTTAGTGTCTCATTTGGTTATGCTATCACCATACTCTGTCCACTCTAGTCTATTGAATGGATTCCAGGTTACCATTCTCAAGTTCAGTATCACATTCTCCTCAGAAGTCTAATTTTCCCCTCCTATTATCTATTGAAAAATGATAAAAAATTTTAACTAGTCAAGATTCTCTCCAATCTAACCCTGTCTGTCCTCTTTTTCTCTTCACACCTTGTATTACATTTGTCTTTCTGTAACCCTCAAAAAATATGCACTTTAAATATATTTTCAGGAAAATCTTTAGAAATAATTTTTTATTGAACAATGATCATATTAAGAGGTAAATGAATCAGAGAAATAATAAATGAAAAGAATTATATAAGATGGTAAGCAATGGTCGAATGGTTTCTAATTATATGTAATATAAAATGATATTTTTATAACAAACATGGATTTCTTTAGAATCATATTGTGTTGACAATGTAGAAGCATAATAACAAGGAGTAAAGTATTTCACATCACAGATGTGTTTCTGCTTCTAAGAAGTTCCTGGTCCTCAAATTCCAAAATAAAATCTGGGATTTGTTTTTAATCCCACCATTCAGGTGGCTTAAATCTCAGGAGGTGGTTACCATTTCCTCACTGATCCCCTTGTTTGCTCAGCAAGTAAATTTTAAAGTTGAGATATTTTAGTTAATGTACAGAGAACTTAGCCACCTTGAGTAAAGGAATTAAATGGGGAAATACTAATTTGGATTAAAGGCAGGAAAAAAGTGATCCTATAAAGTAAAAAATATTGTGTAGTGAGTGCTAACAAATTAATAGGTTATTAACCCTATAGAGTGTAAAAGCAATATACACTCTAAGAGTTCTGCTTTTCTCTGGAGAAGGAGAAGGAGATAGCAGAATTTGGATTTCACCTTTATATTTAACTCTCAGCTAGAATATCAAAACATAAGAAAAACACATAAGAGAAACCCTTTGAAACTGATCAATGCTTCCATAACTGCATATTTTATTACCTTTCAGGTTGCACTGCCCAAGGTATACACATTATTTGGTACTTTCAGTTCAAAAGAATCATAGTTCAAATAATATTCTTATTATTTGTGTTTCCTAATAATAAATGACACATTTTATACTTGAATTCTTTACATTCGAGTCTGCCAGAATGCTATAATCGACATTCATACATTTTACTATATATGAAATTAATATCAGTTGCAACACAGATAAACCTTTACTTCTTACTTAAAGAGCAGAACTGTGAGTTTGCACAAGTAAAAAAGAAAAGTCCCAGGGGCCCTATCTTGGCCTGAGTCCCACACAAAATAGAGGCAAAAGTACATGTGCTAACAGCAGCACAATCCCAAGGAAGCAAGAGTGAGAGATCGAAGGATGTAAAGCAAGGAAGGATGGAGAACAAGTACAAGGGGGTGTTTTCTAGGCTATCCACAGTTGCCAAACAAGCTCAGCTAATTGCTCAGTTTCATAAGGCACCATCACAGCAGGCCCGTGAATTACTGCGTTTGAGAACCGCCCATGGTGGGGTCAGTCAGCGGTAGAGAAGCATTCATCTTGCTTCTGCCTATGCACACGCGCTTCCTCTTCCACCTTCCCCTTCCGTTCCTCTTCATTAAAGCTGGTGTTCACTCCTTTGCACTTGCACGTGGTCCTGTCACTAGGCCCCTCCAGGTGACTGATGCAGAAGCAGCACCAGCTGGGCACTGTCTGCCATTCCACAGACACCTCATTTTGCACCTCTTCACTAGTTTGGGCTGCCCACCGGGCCTAGGGACCCTTACAGGTAACAGGGGCAGCTACGGAGCTCCACAGACTTCTGCTAGAGCTGCTTCAAGATCTGGAGTTGCACATGAACCGGTTTCTGCCGAGACCCTAACTATTCCTTTCATTTCCTTAGGCCTCCTATAAACAGAACAATGGTAACTGTGTTAATCAAGGTTATCCAGAGAAAGAGAACCAATGGAATGTATATATACACATTAAAAGGGAGATAGATTTTATTTTGGCTCAGATAATTGTGGGGACTGGCAAGTCCAAACTCCTTGGAGTAGGCTGGAGACCCATGGCAGTTAATATTGCAATTGTAGTCCAAAGGCAATTTGCTGGTAGGATTTTCTTCTTCCTCTGGGGACTTCAGTCTTTTCTCTGAAGGCCTTCAACTGACTGCATGAGGCCCACCCACATTGCAGAGGGTAATCTGCTTTACTCAATGGCTACTGATTTAAGTATTAATCACATCTCAAAAAGATACAAATCACAGCAACATCTAGGCTGGTGTTTGATCAAAAACTGGGTACCAAGGCCTAGCCAGCTAACACAAAATTATCCATTATGGTTACCATTATCTTAAATGTACAGAATATATATACAGTGTATATGCATAAATATATGAATCTTACCTATAAATATATGAAATATGTGTCTGTATGGAAGGATGTGTGTGGGTTGTGTGTTTGTATGTATGCATATTTATTTTTTCTTTTGCATTTCATTGATGATCAGAAAAGTCTTGCTGAGGGCTCTTACAGAGATCTTCGTGATTTGCAATCAAATGCAAAAACTTTCCTCATCTTAGATCACATGGTCCTCCAAATCTCATGTTTTTTCCTTTTATCTTTGTTTTGTGTATGAGGCTGCATATCATTCTCAGTTCCTCTCCTCAATCCTTTCAACCTTAAACATTCTTTCTTACCATTCTCTGCTTTTGGAAGAAGCAGTTTTAGATCATTATTCCAATGATCTAAACTCTCCTATCTCTGTCTTATCAGTCTAACTATTCCAAAGATTTTCAATTAATTTAAAAGCAGTACAAATTTCCTATATTAGGATGGTAAACTAAAAGCATCATACCTACTCTTCTTTTAAGTCACTTTGAATACAGAGAAAAAAAACACAAATAACAACTTTGATAAAACTAAGGGACAATTGTACACCTAGATTACTGTGCATGAAGACGGAAATTAATTGGAAGAATGGTAAATGATTTTGTAGAAATGAGCATAGTAAACTTACTGCATGCAGAAGAAAATACTCCTGAGCAGTAGGTTAATAAAACTCATGTAGCTCTTCAAAGTCTCAGAAGTTGGAAAGACATGTAATAAAAAGGAAGTGTTAAGGGGTGAGGGAGAAAGGGCTGAAGAACAGAGGAAATGTGTGCACATCTGTATAAAGAACAGTTAGACTTAAAGTCCAACTCTATTCACATCTGAAGGAAACAAGTATATTCTCCAGGTCAGAATACTTGGGAACCCTGCATCAGAGAAGGATTGGAAAAATGTTCAAATGAAAATATCTGCACACTGCCAGTGTGCCCCAATCAGTCCCAGAACTCTAGATGACAGGCACTGACAGGCAATAGCATCATTTTCTGGAAAATTTTAACTAACTGAGAGATGTAATAGAGAAAATACCACAAATCCTTTTTAAATGTAAAATGGAGGACTCCCAATTACTCAAAACTCCATTATAAAAACATGAAAATTGATAAAAAATTTTTCACACTGCTTTAGCAATCAAAATCACAAATTCAATTTTAGATTAAGATTGTGTCAACTATTGAACTCAGCCTGTCAGAAAAACAAAGCAAGAAGAAATTGAACAGTTTAATTCCCTGGCAAGTCTCCTTAGCCTACCTTTTTTTAAACTGATTTTATTTTGAAACAGTCACACTGACTTGGCCTGATACTACAAACAATCAGATTTATGGTGCCACAGGCAGGCGAGGGTGAGCTGAGTAGAATCTTCCAAGACATTCCAGTCAACTCTTCAGGGCATCATTCAATTATAATGCATAAAGAAGGATCAGTAGACATTTGCAGAGAATTCCCAAGATAAAAGGCAAAGAACCCAATGAGAATTAAGAGGATTTAGGAGAAGCAGAGGAAATTCAATGAGCGAAACTTTAAAGGAGTCATAATTAATTTCATGAGGAATGGGAAACAGAACAGGATGCCACATAATAGGGAGAACAGAATGAGGCATGCACACACACAACATTTACAGCACATTATTTAAATGCTGACATAAAGAGAATCAATAAAAGTGTTGGAAGATAAAAATTAAATAAATTTACCAGACTGATTGCCTGAGTAAAAGTAAGGAAAGTTTCAGACTACAGCTGAACAGCAACCCTATGGAGAACATTTCAAATTGCAACAAAACATGTAGGGTCCCAGTGCTTCAGAAAAGAGCAATCAAAATGGGCAAACTTCCTAAATATCTTTTGATGAATGAAATTAGATATAATAGTAGATTTTGCAGTGTTATTAGACAGGAATATCTTAATAATGAGTTTAAAGAAATCTAAGCACAAAAAAAACAGAATCATCAATGCCAAGGATAATAGAAAGTTGCACGTGGAAGGAAATTTAATCATAGTACACTTCTTGGACTAGCAGGGAGAAATTATTAATAAGACATACAATACATAGCATTTACAAAGAACATACAAGTACTGAACCAAGTCATTATAACTGAACTATTTTGGGAGTATGGTTAGAAGGCAGAGTGATGTAAGGAAATAGAAAAATTCATACACTGTAATACACTGTGATTGGAAGTTAATCTAAAATGAATCAAGGGAACAATTTGTATACATTTTTGGTAAAACTATCAAGGAAAATACCAGAAAAAATAGATATTGGTTAAAAGTGATTGCCTCTGTGGAATGGGGCAGTGATGAAAAGGAGAGAGTGACAGAGGGGGACTATATATTTTTTAATTGTTTTGTTATTTCTTATATTTCAGCACACTTTGCTTGTACTTATTGTTTTTGGATAAAAACTAAAGAGTAAAATATATACTTTTTGAATGAATTTTAGAAAAGAAGGTCAACATCACTCAAACATATAAGTGCTAACATAGTCATATTTCTTGCATACTCCGTGTGCATATTTTGATAAACTGAAAAAATAAAATACTGATGTTTCATATAATATGATAATCCAAACATTTTGATGTTATTACAAGTTAAGTGTGAAGATTATTTGTATTTGGTAAAGTGTGATTGTTTCAAATAAATACTCCATATTTTATCTATTTGACTCCGTTGGTCTCTTAGTTCCCTTGTGTAATATTTTGAGTTCAGAAATTACAAGATGAGAACAAACACTAATGGTTATTTACTCAAAATACACTTTTAGAGTGGAAATATTAAATTGAATTTTAATGCTGGAGTATGCATTACCAAAGTACTTTCCAAACTCACATACTTCAACTTCAGAAATGTGTATGAGTGCTTCTTTCATTGCAGCTCTCCACTTTTTTCTTGACATTCCTGAAACAGTTCCTAAACTGGAAATCTCTAATTCTTCCCACATTCCACATTTGAGGGATTAGTAGAAGAAATGCAGATTTCTCCAAGTAAGTGTTAAATCAAAGTATATTTTGTTATTGTCATTGTCCCCACATTGTTTTCTTATACAGAATATGCCCTTATTCTTAATTCTATATCTTCAACCTAATTAAATGAAATATGAATTATAAATTCATCAAGACAGTTGTGGATAAGAATGAAGGGCCAAAGTTGGACAATCAGGGGAAACAATATCATTTATCCCCCCTTAAGACAATATGAACATGAAATTTTAATTTTTAAAAAAGGAAGCAGAAGGACTTAGAATCAAAACCAGTTTTAAAACTGGCCACTAGGATTAGGAAAAGGGTGGAGGAAAAAAGGTATCTGAGGCTACAAAAGGGTAGCATGAAGAATCCTCCTGATGGAAATGCTCTGTTATTTAACTGTGGTGCTGCTTATGTGAATCTATACATGTGATAAAACTACACAGAAATTACATAAAATTACATGTATGCAAAACATACATAAATGTACTCAAATGATTGCATGTAAAACTAGTGAAATCTGAGTAAATTTGATGGATTGCATCAAGTCAGTTTTCTAGTTGTGATCTTATACTATTACGATAAAAGATGTTACCACTGGGGAGATGAGCATCCAGGATTTCTGGATCTCTCATGATGATTTCTTACAACTGCAATATAAACTCAGTCACTTTGGGTGTCAAAATTAATTTGTACCTAGGGGATTCTTGCCCTGAACTAACTGCACAATGTAGGGAAGCAGAATACAGAGGAATGATACAACATTCGATCTACCTTCAAGAAGTTTTCAAATACCAAATATGGCAAGTTCAGAATTCTTAACTGTAAAGTAAAAGATCTGGAATGATCTTTGTCAGAGTTTCTTCTCAACTTAATGTACCATGCAGTAACAAACTCAAGAGGGCAGAGGTTACAGCCTAACCATTTGATATGATCAGCAAGTTTTGTGAAGAGAGACAGAGGACAGAAATTCAGCAAGTGTTAAGTCATCAAAGGGAAATAGAAAGCAGATTGGAAGAATTAGTAAGACTTGAATGGGACAAAATAAGAAATAATTCTAGAACCAAGGAATTACACTTATAGATTGTAGACATGGAATCAAGAATGAGTGGGTGCCAGTAGGGGCATACAGATGTAAGAGTAGTCAAGATAATATGAAGTTTAAGAATTCAGGAGAGGAAACATTCATGTGTCCCAACTGGCAGGAGCTCCTTCTTTTTTAAGGTATAATAATATTCCTTCGAAGGATACAAAGTTGCAATTATGGAGATGAGTAAGTCTAGAGATTTAATATACAGCATGATGACTATAGTTAATAATAATGTACTGAATACTGGAAATTTGCTAAGACTATAGATTTCAGGTGCTCACCACACACATACCAATGGTAACTTTGGGAGGAGATGGATACATTAATTAACTTGACTATAGTAATCATTTCACTTGCATGTGTATATAAAATCATGTTACACAATTTAAATATACATAATCTGTGTTTAAAATAAACTTTCAAAAGAAGAAACAGAGAGGCTTGCCAGTTTTTAAGAGGTAGGGACATAACT